TAAACAACAACGAATTTTTTTGTGCACAGTATATTCTACCTAGGTTTATTTTTTCAGAACAAAAGTTATTTATATATTTAAAGTTACAAAAAACATCACAATTCATTCAAGAAAATTCAAAGAAAATATACTAAATCGAAAAGAATTTAAAATAATTGTTAAAAATAACAACAAATTCAAAACTAAATACAAATCTATCACTCTAGTATCTTCAAAGGTTATCGAAAAATGACGTAAACTTCAAATTAATACTTGTAATTAATATAATATTAAAGTTGGTTAATTTAAAAGTTTGAGGTTAAGTTTCGTAAAAAATTATAGAGAATTGACGTGAACTTCAAGTAGTACTTGTAAACTGTATATAGATTTATTTTGACAATTTGAGGTTAAACTCGGTTATGAAATATAAAGAAATTAGGTTATGTTCGATTTTGTTCTGAGAACATTTAAGTCGGTTAATTTAACAGTTTGAGGTTATTTTCGTAAAAGATGATCGAGAATTGACGTGAACTTCTAATTAGTACTTGTAAACTATATAAAAATTTATTTTGACAATAAGGGGTTAAACTCGGTAAAGAAATACAAAGAAATTAGGTTATGTTCGATTTTGTTCCAGGAACATTAAAGTCGGTTAATTTAACAGTTTAAGGTTAAGTTTTGTAAAAAATTATCGAGAATTGACGTGAACTTCAAGTTAGTACTTGTAAACAATATGAAGATATATTTTGACAATTTGAGGTTAAACTCGGAGACGAAATATACAAAAATTAGGTTAAGTTCGATTTTGTTCTGGGAACATTAAAGTCGGTTAATTTAACAGTTTGAGGTTAACTTTCGTAAAAAATTATAGAGAATTGACGTGAACTTCAAGTAGTACTTATAAACTGTATATAGATTTATTTTGACAATTTGAGGTTAAACTCGGTTATGAAATATAAAGAAATTAGGTTAAGTTCGATTTTGTTCTGAGAACATTTAAGTCGGTTAATTTAACAGTTTGAGGTTATTTTCGTAAAAGATGATCGAGAATTGACGTGAACTTCAAGTTAGTACTTGTAAACAACATGAAGATATATTTTGACAATTTGAGGTTAAACTCGGAGACGAAATATACAAAAATTAGGTTAAGTTCGATTTTGTTCCAGGAACATTAAAGTCGGTTAATTTAACAGTTTAAGGTTAAGTTTTGTAAAAAATTATCGAGAATTGACGTGAACTTCAAGTTAGTACTTGTAAACAATATGAAGATATATTTTGACAATTTGAGGTTAAACTCGGTAAAGAAATACAAAGAAATTAGGTTAAGTTCGATTTTGTTCTGGGAACATTAAAGTCGGTTAAATTAACAGTTTGAGGTTAAGTTTCGTAAAAAATTATAGAGAATTGACATGAACTTCAAAGTAGTACTTGTAAACTATATGAAGATATATTTTGACAATTTGAGGTTAAACTCGGTTATGAAATACACAGAAATTAGGTTAAGTTCGATTTTGTTCTGGGAACATTAAAGTCGGTTAATTTAACAGTTTGAGGTTAAGTTTCGTAAAAAATTATAGAGATTTGACGTGAACTTCAAAGTAGTACTTGTAAACTGTATATAGATTTATTTTGACAATTTGAGGTTAAACTCGGTTATGAAATATAAAGAAATTAGGTTAAGTTCGATTTTGTTCTGAGAACAGTCGGTTAAATTAACAGTTTGAGGTTAAGTTTCGTAAAAAATTATAGAGAATTGACATGAACTTCAAAGTAGTACTTGTAAACTATATGAAGTTATATTTTGACAATTTGAGGTTAAACTCGGTGGCAAAATATACAAAAATTAGGTTAAGTTCGATTTTGTTCTGGGAACATTAAAGTCGGTTAATTTAACAGTTTGAGGTTAAGTTTCGTAAAAAATTATAGAGATTTGACGTGAACTTCAAAGTAGTACTTGTAAACTGTATATAGATTTATTTTGACAATTTGAGGTTAAACTCGGTTATGAAATATAAAGAAATTAGGTTAAGTTCGATTTTGTTCTGAGAACATTTAAGTCGGTTAAATTAACAGTTAATTCGGTGAAGAAATATACAAAAAATAGGTTAACTTTGATTTTGTTCCAGGAACATTAAAGTCGGTTATTTTAACAGTTTGAGGTTAAGTTTTGTAAAAAATTATCGAGAATTGACGGGAACTTCAAATTAGTACTTGTAAACTATATAAAAATTTATTTTGACAATAAGGTGTTAAACTCGGTAAAGAAATACAAAGAAATAAGGTTATGTTCGATTTTGTTCCAGGAACATTAAAGTCGGTTAATTTAACAGTTTAAGGTTAAGTTTTGTAAAAAAATTATCGAGAATTGACGTGAACTTCAAATTAGTACTTGTAAACTATATAAATATTTATTTTGACAATAAGGGGTTAAACTCCGTAAAGAAATACAAAGAACTTAGGTTATGTTCGATTTTGTTCCAGGAACATTAAAGTCGGTTAATTTAACAGTTTGAGGTTAAGTTTCGTAAAAAATTATAGAGATTTGACGTGAACTTCAAAGTAGTACTTGTAAACTGTATATAGATTTATTTTGACAATTTGAGGTTAAACTCGGTTATGAAATATAAAGAAATTAGGTTAAGTTCGATTTTGTTCTGAGAACAGTCGGTTAAATTAACAGTTTGAGGTTAAGTTTCGTAAAAAATTATAGAGAATTGACATGAACTTCAAAGTAGTACTTGTAAACTATATGAAGTTATATTTTGACAATTTGAGGTTAAACTCGGTGGCAAAATATACAAAAATTAGGTTAAGTTCGATTTTGTTCTGGGAACATTAAAGTCGGTTAATTTAACAGTTTGAGGTTAAGTTTCGTAAAAAATTATAGAGATTTGACGTGAACTTCAAAGTAGTACTTGTAAACTGTATATAGATTTATTTTGACAATTTGAGGTTAAACTCGGTTATGAAATATAAAGAAATTAGGTTAAGTTCGATTTTGTTCTGAGAACAGTCGGTTAAATTAACAGTTTGAGGTTAAGTTTCGTAAAAAATTATAGAGAATTGACATGAACTTCACAGTAGTACTTGTAAACTATATGAAGTTATATTTTGACAATTTGAGGTTAAACTCGGTGGCAAAATATACAAAAATTAGGTTAAGTTCGATTTTGTTCTGGGAACATTAAAGTCGGTTAATTTAACAGTTTGAGGTTAAGTTTCGTAAAAAATTATAGAGATTTGACGTGAACTTCAAAGTAGTACTTGTAAACTGTATATAGATTTATTTTGACAATTTGAGGTTAAACTCGGTAAAGTAATACAAAGAAATTAGGTTAAGTTCGATTTTGTTCTGGGAACATTAATGTCGGTTAAATTAACAGTTTGAGGTTAAGTTTCGTAAAAAATTATAGAGAATTGACATGAACTTCAAAGTAGTACTTGTAAACTATATGAAGATATATTTTGACAATTTGAGGTTAAACTCGGTGGCAAAATATACAAAAATTAGGTTAAGTTCGATTTTGTTCTGGGAACATTAAAGTCGGTTAATTTAACAGTTTGAGGTTAAGTTTCGTAAAAAATTATAGAGATTTGACGTGAACTTCAAAGTAGTACTTGTAAACTGTATATAGATTTATTTTGACAATTTGAGGTTAAACTCGGTAAAGAAATACAAAGAAATTAGGTTAAGTTCGATTTTGTTCTGGGAACATTAATGTCGGTTAAATTAACAGTTTGAGGTTAAGTTTCGTAAAAAATTATAGAGATTTGACGTGAACTTCAAATTAGTACTTGTAAACTATATGAAGATATATTTTGACAATTTGAGGTTAAACTCGGTAAAGAAATACAAAGAAATTAGGTTAAGTTCGATTTTGTTCTGGGAACATTAAAGTCGGTTAAATTAACAGTTTGAGGTTAAGTTTCGTAAAAAATTATAGAGAATTGACATGAACTTCAAAGTAGTACTTGTAAACTATATGAAGATATATTTTGACAATTTGAGGTTAAACTCGGTGGCGAAATATACAAAAATTAGGTTAAGTTCGATTTTGTTTTGAGAACATTTAAGTCGGTTAATTTAACAGTTTGAGGTTAAGTTTCGTAAAAAATTATCGAGAATTGACATTGAAGACATCAACTTTTTAATAGTGCTTGTTAACTTTATAGATATTAATTTTGACAGTTTGAGGTTAACTTTCTATAAAAAGTTTTAGAGAAATGACGTAAGCTTCACATTAGTACTTGTCAACTATATAAATTTTTATTTTGACAGTTTGAGATTAAATTCGGTGAAGAAATACAATGAAATTAGGTTAAGTTAGATTTTGTTCCAGGAACATTATAGTTGGTTAGTTTAACAGTTTGAGGTTAAGTTTCGTTCAAAAGTTATCCAGAAATGACATTGAAGACATCAACTTTTAAATAGTGCTTGTTAACTCCATAGGTATTAATTTTGACAGTTTGAGGTTAAATTCGGTGAAGAAATATGCAGAAATTAGGTTAAGTTCAATTTTGTTCTGGGAACATTAGAGTTGGTTAATTTAACAGTTTGATGTTAAGTTTCGTAAAAAATTATCGAGAATTGACGTGAACTTCATATTAGTACTTGTCAACTATATAAATTTTTATTTTAACAGTTTGAGTTTAAATTCGGTGAAGAAATACAAAGAAATTAGGTAAAGTTCGATTTTTTTCTGGGAACATTACAGTTGGTTAATTTGACACATACAGGTTAACTTCCGTTTAAAAGTTATCCGGAAATGACATTGAAGACACCAACTTTATATTAGTGCTTGTTAACTTCATAGGTATTAATTTGAACAGTTTGAGGTTAACTTTCGAAAAGAAGTTACCGAGATATGACACGGATCTCGATTTAGTTTTTGTTAACTTCATAGGTATTGATTTTTGACAGTTTTAGGGTATCTTCCGTAAAGAAGTTATCGAAAAATGACGCGAACTTCAAATTATTGCTTGTAAACTGCAAAGATTTAATTTTTTAACTTCGTAAAAAATTAGCGCGAAACTCGCGCGATATTCTCGCGAGTATGCTTGCGCGAGATTCGCGTTAATCTATTCACGCGAATATTTCCACCTGGGAATGATTGTTTCCCAACCGTCCACAAGCGCAGGCAGTTCTTTGTACGATGCGTCAAGTCCTAAAATAATTAAATTGTCTAGTGATATTACAAAAACTGAGTTAAATCATCAAAACGTTTCAAGCGACGAAGTAAAAATGGAGGAAACAGGTTTAAAATTTAGTTTCGCCAATTGCTCAAATATTACCATTACAATTAATAAAACATAACTTACCACTACGATAATTGTTGATTTACACTTTGTAATATTTTATAATCAATTTTAAAGTTTATCGTTAGAAAAATGTTCAAAATTTAGTTTCAAATTAAATTAAAATTCATTTCCAATATTCTTATTACAATTAATAAAAAATATAAATTTTCGACTATAATAATTGTTTATTTTCTTTTTGTAATATTTTATTGTTAATAAATAAATGTAAAATTTTCAATTCAAAATCTAATTCGAGATCAGCGACATCGTAAACCCTTTTACTAATTTTAATTAATACAAGCCCCTTTTCAAAAAAGTTGATAGCAGGTTTGACAGCTTTTAATTGTCAAATATCCAACTTAACATCAAATTCGTCGGCAATGATACCACAAAAAGCTTTTATTTAAATTTTTATTAAAACAAATCATTTTTCAGCATACTTGACAGTTTATTTGACAGCTGTCAAATTATATTATAAATAAAAAAATTATAAATTTTATCTAAAATTTTTTACCAGCAGACCTAAAAAAAGTTTTGTTTCATTTTTGAAAAAATTGATTACTTTTCAGCAAAGTTGACAGCTTATTTGACAGCTGTCAACTGCAATGCTGATTACGAATTCGAGGTCAGTTTTTCAAAATTCAAAATGACGGGTCCAATATGGCGGACAAAATTTTAGTAATTAGAGCTAAGTACACCAAAATGAGTTCTCGGGGGGTTTTGTGATCGCTGATTACGAATCTGAGGTCTGTTTTGTTATTAATTGTTCAATTGCATTGTAACTTTCCAGAAAACTTCTTTGGGCCTTAATGAACAACTTTCTCACTGGAAGTTTGTTGCTGCTGAAAATTTACGAAAAATCCTCACAGAGTGAAAATTGCAGTTCTCAATAAAAAATTAATAACTTTTTTATTTTTAATCAAAACAACTTTTTTCTTTGTTAGTCACTCGTAGAATATAATAACACGTATTTTTGTTTTAGTTTCATTAAGAAAGTCGTAAAATTGTCTGAGCTGTCGCGAGTTGAAGTAAAAAAAAATGAAAATTTTCATTTTTAAAAATCCAGTTTTTCTCATATATTTCGAAACCGGAAAAAGATGAAAAGTTTTTTATTAAGAAAAAAAGATGCGCAATCGAATTCTGTATAAGAATATGCTCGAAAAATATTAAAATTCGAAAAATAAATGTTGAGTGTCCAGGGGACTTCGTTTTCCGGCCGAAAAAATTTACGTGCCCTTCTAGAATCCAGTGGCTCAATTGTAAAAACTTATTCTGAAGAAACAATCAGATGAGTTCTTAAAAGCTTTATTTTTTGCAAGAAACTGAAAGTCTAAAATAGTCACAAATAATATTATCAAAATTTAAATAAAATTGTAAATAATTTTAGATTTTAAAATAACCCATAAAAAAATTTCATCTATGGGAACGCTCCCTATCAAAAACCTAAATTTCAGTGGGTTAAAAGGGTAAATTTCACTGGCACTTTACGTTAGCAAAAAAGAAAATTTATTTACTTGACAATAATGGAAGTGACATCCATGCAGTATTATTCCAGGAAATTCCTCCCGTAAAGCTCTCTGTAATCCAGGTTCATAATCTGTCAATGGTTCTTCCATATTAAATTCAGGTATTAACCTCTTAATTTCTTGAAATACGGATTTGTAAGCTTCTGTCGTTTTCTTTGACATTAAAACCCAAATAATGGGTATGGCCTTTAAGAAACAATGGATAATTTCATTTTATATTATTCACTGTGATTACGGTATCTTATTTTATTTGAAAAGTTGAACAGATACAAATTTTATCAAAAACGGGAGATAGAATAATTATTTAAAAAGGTAATGGAATATGTATTTTAAGGTTTATTAACATTGTAGTATAATTAAATTGTTTGGAAAATTTTTTTTTTCGAAAAATAGAAATTTTAAAAACTTTCTACAAAATTTTTCTTCATTTTTTACAGAAACTATAATTTTAAATGGAATCACACTACATTCAACTATATTCGGCCGGAAGTTAATCAAAAATGTTCAAAATAAGTTACCTATAATGTTTCTCATAGATGAAAATTCAAAAATAAACAAAAATTGTACTAAATAAATTTTAAGTTTTATCAAATTTACTTAATTTGAAAATGTTGATTTTGATTACAAAAGTATTTTTAATATTTTCATTTCTTTTAGAAAAAAGTTAAATACATTAAAAAAATTTAATTTTACTTAAACATATTAATTAATAAATGTTTAATAAATTGCAGTTAGAAAAATTGAAGTAGATGCTTTGAAAACAAATACAGTTCTTTCTGAAAATTTTTTATTATTTTTTAGAAATTCTATATCTTTGAAAAAGGTTAACTGGGTAGCGATTATGTATTTTGATTTAACTTTGACGTCAAAGTCATTTTCATTTTGACTTCGTAGTCAAATGTCATTTTTCGTAGTTTTACTTAAAATGATTGTTTTGATTTGTCAAATTGTAATATCCACAATTTTTTTAGGAATTAAATTATAAAAAAGTAAAGTAAGTAATTTTAAACAGTTAAAAAACCGGTATAATTAAGGAATTTTTAAAAGATTAATAATTAGGTAAAAATTATTTAATAAAAAATTATTTCATCTGTGAACGGTAAGTATTTTTTAATGTTGAAACCAGGGATATGTTATAATTGTTTTGAATAATGCCTTACTTTCATTTTTATAAATGTAGTCAGAATGAAATAAACAAAAAAATCAAAAACTAAAGAAGAAATTATGTCGTTTAAAAGATAATTCAAAACATATAAAATTACTTACATTTGACCGATGAAATATTTTTTTCCTAAAATAATTTTAACTTAAATTAGTTTCCTACTGTTTTAAGCAAATTGACATTTTGTACATAATTTATTGATGTAATTTAAAATAGAAAATGCTCAACATAAATTATTATTAAAAATACTCAATTTTTTGGCATAATGTAATTGCAATTAATTCCTAAACATAAATTCAGCAACGAGACTGTTATTTATATTTGTGTAAATAAAATTTAACGATTAATTTTATTTAAACTGTAATTAATTATATATATAAATAGTAATATGTAAATAATTCTTTCAATTTTTCCTCTTAACATATGTCAATAAATAAATAAAATAATATTAATGTTTTAATTATATTTCATAAATTAAAATTTTTTTAACCTCTTACTTTTACTTAGTTTGTTAAAGTTAGTTCTGTTTTTTTAAAAATCCTTGTAATGCTGTCTTGATCTTTTTAAAATTACTTATTTCACTTTTTCATCATTTAATTCCTAAATAAAGTTTTTATTCTTAAATTCTTAATAAAGGGAAAAAAGTAATTATACTTCAAAATTGTGGTTATTACAATTTGACAAATCAAAACAATCATTTTACGTAAAACTATGTAAAATGTCATTTGACTACGAAGTCAAAATGAAAATAACTTTTACGTCAAATTGAAAATGACTTTGACGTCAAAGGTAAATCAAAATACATAATCGCTACCCTGTAATTTTTAAACTTAGTGCAATAATAATTTTCTTATAGGAACTACACTGAATATTGCTTTTTTACAAACAATTACAAATTTAATAGTATTGAATTTTCTCTTTCTTTATTTTTTTATATATGTGAAGAAAAATTGAAGCACTTTTCAAGAAAATAGTAATTATTACACTGAGGAACAGGTGACAAGTAAAATTTAATTAAAAACTTTTAAATAGAAAAATATTCTACGTTTTTGAATTCGTAAATTTTTAAACTATTGGTATTTGAAAAAAATTTATACTTTTTAAAAGTCAGAATTTATATTTATTTGAAATTGATAATAGTGAATTAATATTTATGTGGAATTAGTAAAGTATAATATTCACATTAAACCTAACATCAAAATAAATCCTACTTTATATGGTATAAAATACAGAAAATGAATGGAATAAAGAAACTTACTTTATTAACCTTCTTTGACATGATTGTCATAAGCTGGTGGGCACCAACTGAAGTTGGTGTAACCTTAAATGTTGCGTCCATGAAGAAAAATCCATTGACTGCAACTTTGCGAACGAATTCTGGATTGAAAATTACAACTGCTTCCGACGAATTAGCAGCTGCAACATGTGAAACACTCATTCTTCCTTGATCACATTCAAGTAAATGTTGCCACTCTTCGCGGTCTACAGTTTCCACATAGGTACGTAATGAATGAACAACGGGAGGTCGATTTCGTTTTCGCCATTTATGCATTGAGTTTTCAACGCGCCCAAAAGGTACGCTAATTGAAGCATCTAAGAGGCTATATTATAAAATTTTTTTTATTAGTAATAATATTAAAAACTAATAAGAAATCAAATAAAATAAATGGTAAATTTTGACAATTTTTAATTTGAAGTAAAAATTGTTTGTTCTAATATTAAAATACATAAATATCTTTTACATTTTATCATTAAATGGAGAAATTTTGCAACTTTCGTCAAATTGACGTATATTAAAATAGAAATTTAATAAAAAATGCATAAAATCTAATAAACAAGTAAATTAATTTAATAAAATATAATAATATTAATTATTGCAATTAATTAATAATTAAAAAATCGTGAAATTTTTTAACAATATTTTTCACTGATAATAATAGTAAAAATTGATGTCAACTTAATTGTCGCTTTCTATCTTAGACAGATCTCCATTAAAGCATGTAAGATAAATAATATTGGGGATGTGACCCCTCAATCATGTATGAGATTAATTCTTTATACTTACTTAGGACGAAGAGAATCATAGATTTTCCTAAAACGCTCAGCACTACCAGTTACTGTCCGATAAAGGTCTTCTTTAAAAGCTTGTTCTTTTATTTCATGCAAATTTGGTCCATGTGTATGTTCAGTTAATAAATTGAATACATTATGTTTCAATACACCCCGTGCACGACAAGTGCCGCTTTTATATCGTGTACAAGTGTAATAACTGAAATTTTAGAAAAAATACATAATATATACTTAAATGTAAACGATTTATACATTAAAGTCCTTTATAAATTAAAGTTACACTTTGAAAGGAATGAAGCCAGTAAGTTAAATTAAAGAATGAAATTAAAATTAAATTAAGTTTAAATTAATTAAAATAAACAGATGGTTAAACTATCTTTAAAAAACCAGTAGGAAAAATGTTGCTAAAAATATGCAGCAATGTCACATGAAAAATGAGAGGGTACGAAATGAAATAAAATAGCGTAAAGTAATTATGTATGAACGACCCATTAACATACATAAAGTTCTGTTTAACTTACATGGCATCCGCCTTGCGAAATTTGATGGTATATTTATAATTGTCAAAGACTTGTCCCTGGAAAATCCTTAAATTGCCATCTCTGTTTGCCATATTTCTTGTTATTCACGAAACTAAAGAAAGGAAAAAGACTAAGCACATATAACTGACCGCGCAAATAAAACGTTAAACACATTCTCAACACGCGATCTTATAGTAACAAAAAATGGAAATGTCAAATATTTAGAACAAAATTTGGGTTGAGTGGTAATAAGAACAATTTTTTTAAATTACTGTACACTTTACACATTGTTCCAAAAGTATTTTTGTCTCATACAATGGAAAGTAAAAAGTAAACATTTTTTACAATCAGCAGTTGGGAAATAAAAAATTAAATTATTTAATTTATTTTCTGTTTATCAATCCCAATAGTATTTTCTACTTAATTTCCTACAAGAAAAATAATCGTTAATTTCTACTATCCGCACTTTAGAAAATATTTTAAAATATTAAAAATATTAGTTTAAAAGACGACAGTATATTTCACAGAATACGTAAATGAAAAATGAAATTTATAAATGTAAATAATTTATTATAAGAAAAGTAATTATGTGCAAAACCTGGATTCGTAGAATGGCAAAAACACGTGGTCCTGTAGGGGGCACACTAAATCCTATCCTTGAATAATAGACGATAATTACTTGATATTTATTTTTATGGATTAAAAGAACACTTTATTGCTTCCTCTTATTTGTAAAATGTCTAAAGTTTATTTCGGGAAACAGTACTTCACAAATCACACTGCAATTAATCGCGACATTAGCTTATCAATCGCGCCCGTCCCATAGGTGCAACAATGGCGAACGATGGCATGTGTACTATTGAAATCACGTCGAAGGACTGAATTGGAACAAACAGGAAAAAAAAGTAGATGGCGTTTCAAATTAAAATGCACTTAATATAGGTGTATAAACTGCTAATTGACTAGAAAATGCTACACTTTTCGCGTGAAATTGAAATCCAACACCAGGAATGATGTCGGCACCTCTCCGTCAAACCACGAGCGATACAGTGGGGGATAGGTGCCGGCATCATCACGTGACCAATTCTATTACATAGTGTTGGTTTTTAAATTCGCGCCAAAAATGTATCAGTTTCTAGCCAATTAGCAGTTTATATACGTATATTCAGTGCGTTTTAATTTGAAACGCCATCTAATTCTTTTTCCTGTTTGTTCCAATTCATTCCTTCGACGTGATTTCAATAGTACGCATGCCATCGTTCGCCATTGTTGCACCTACGGGACGGGCGCGTTTGATAAGCTAATGTCGCGATTAATTACAGTGTGATTTGTGAAGTTCTGTTTCCCGAAATAAACTTTAGACATTTTACAAATAAGAGGAAGCAATTAAGTGTTTTTTTAATCCATAAAAGGATTCAGTGTGCCCACTACAGGACCACGTGTTTTTGCCACCTTACGAATCCAGGTTTTGCGCATAATTATTTTCTTTATAATAAATTATTAACATTTATAAATTTCATTTTTCATTTACGTATTCTGTAAAATATACTGTTGGCTTTTAAACTAATATTTTTAATATTTTAAATTATTTCTAAAGTGCGGAAAGTTGAAGTTAACGAATATTTTTCTTTTTAGAAATTAAATAGATAATACTATTGGGATTGAAAATAAAAATGTAAAGCAGCAAATTTTAATTTTCTTAAGTTATTCTTTAAAAAACGATGAAAAAATTTCTTATTCTTTAAATTTGAATGGTTTTTTATTCATTTTTTCAGTAATAATATAATAATGGAAATAAGTAAGGAAAACGATAGAAAAAAATGTATTTTTCTTTCCAAAATGTTCTGACTTTAAAAATTTCGAATTTTCACATTTCATTGTCTGAGATAAAAATGCAGACAGTTGACGGTAATTTTTAAATTTTGTTTATATTATTAATAAATATTTTGCAGATTCATTCCTCGTTAATAAGAGATGGTCTGCTGAGAATGTGCTTTTCGTTTACTTAATTATTTCATTTTAATTACAAAAATACATATATACATAATTAATGGTAGAAAAGTTTAGTTGTCAGACAACAACTTTTAAAATCAGTATTTTTAGCGATTAATAAATAATCATTCACTACTCTTTCTAGGTGGAAAAAATGTGCATTTTTATATAACTTTTAGACTTTGTTTTAGTTTTTCAGCAATATTTTATTATTCTGAGAAAGAAGAGAAATTTAATACATTAACACATTAAAGTTAATTAACATGAAAATACATCTGCTTTTTGGTATTCTTTAATTTGTCACGTGATGAAGCCAGTACCTCTTCCCCCATACAACATGGTTTCAGGTTTGGAAAGGTGCTGTCTTCAACACGTGACAAATTCTATTTCGAAGCGTTGGATTTAAAATTCGCGCGAAATGTGTACAGATCAAATTATCCAAGTAGCAGTTGATATATATTTATTGTGCCTTAAGTTAAAGCGCCATCTTCTTCTTTTTCCCGTTTGTTCCAGTTCAATTTTTTAACGTGATCTCAATAGTAAACACAGGGTGTTTACGAGATGTATGACCTGTGGCGCCCCGGAGGCGTTGAAGGTTCTCAATCAAATTTTAAAAGTCGATTTGTCATCATTGACTCTGATTCGTTGAAAGTTGTTGTTGAGTCATTTTTATGATTAGCAGAAAATATTTCCTTATAAGAACAAAAGCAATGATATATACTAAAAGTATTAATTTTAATTTATTAATTAAGTAATAATTAAATTAAAACAATGATTTTTCATAATTCTTTGTATAACATTAAAATTTTCTGGGAAAATTGTAAAAATTTCCAGTGAATAGAAAACTAAGTACACGTGATAAATTAAAAAATTGAGAAAAATGAATTATGTTCACACTTTTGGCTTATTAATTCCACAAAGTAAAAGTTAAATCTTATTTGAAGATAAGAATTAATTGAGTTATAAAAGTAAAATTATTAGTTTTAATTTAAAGTTAAACCTCTGTGAAAATTAAATATGACGCGATCTGAAGCAAAGGGATCTTAGAAACAAAAAATTATTGGTTATGATTTCTTGTCGAATTCTGACAAACGCCGTGTGGCGAATTGAAACAGAATTTGTCCATAATTTAATCAGAATTCGTGCGATTTTGTTCGGAAAAGCGGGAAGATAAAAAATATTCGCCCGCTTTTCCGACCGAATTTTGTACGTAATTTGTGCGAATTACTAACACATTCTTTAAATAAGTCGAAAAAGTGGGCGAATATTTTTTAAAAAAATTTTTCAGCAATAATGCCCTTCGGAATTCCTATCAATTTCCTGTAGAAATTCACACGAAACCTATTTAAAGAATTCGTTAGTAATTCGCACGAATACCGTAAAAAATTCGGTAGGAAAAGTGGGCGAATATTTAAAAAAAAATTTCAGCAAATAACAGTGCGGAATTCCTATCAAACTTATTTAAATAATTCCAACGAATACCGTACAAAATTTGGTTGGAAATTTTGTCGAAAATCTTTTGCGTATCCGTTTTTGCGAACAAAATCGCACGAATTCCGATTAAATTACGAACGAATTTTGCTTCAAATTGCCTCACGGCGTTTTCCAGAATTCGACAAGAAATCTGGACGAATTCCAGACGTCATTCGTGACGATCATTTTCACCTAGGAAGCGAGTCAAGTCGAACCGAAGTCTCACAGACAGCGAGTACTGAAATTTTCCGAACCTAAAAATTGTTACGTGCGAGCCGCATACAGTATTATTTTCGCCATTGACATGAGAAAGTGAAACATTTAAAAAAACAATGTAATTGTTTTTTTATGGCAGTAAACTGCCTTCCCTATTAAAAAAATACACATTTAATTATATATATATATAATTTTAGGAACAATGATTTAATAAATTGTAATTACTTCCTTACTAGAATTAAAATATTTTTAAAAAATATAACTAAAATATTTTTAAAAATTTATTTGTTAAAATTGTAAATAAAATTTTCCGAAACTTCATTTTTATCAATTTACTTTATTAATTTTCGCAAACGACGATCAAATTTAAAAAATATAAGAAAAAATATATTACACTGAAAACAAAATTTATTCGATTCAAATACCGGATTACTTGAATATTATCAAATAAATATTTACTTGAATGAAATAATTTTTATTTGAATCATTTAAATGGTATTTGCTTCAAATACTGAAGTAATTGAGTCAAATACTGGAATAATTGATTCAAATAAAAATTATTTGATTCAAGTCAATATTTATTTGATAATAGTCAAGTAATCCGGTATTTGAATCAAATAACTTTTTTTTCAGTGTATTAGAACATAAAAATTTTTCACTTTTTTTCTAAAATGTTAAGAAATCTTTCCATAAATTTATTTTTTCTTTCTTCTTTTTCTTTTAAAAATTGTAAAACTTTTTCAGTGTCCGTTACAGATTTTTTTTTACGCCGTTGTTTAACAGAAGGATTTTCCTCGTCACTAGATGAGTCCATATTGCGTTTTCCCACGTCTTTTAAATTATTTTTTTTGAAGCCGGAAAGATTCGAAGATGTTGCCACTGGCGTTATTTCCGGCTTCTTAAACATGAAATTATTCATTAATTCATAATGCTCCCAATTACTAGTGTTGCCATTTCCCGATGTTTCCCTCTTCTTTTTTTGGTTTTTAAAGGTTTTCCTCAAACTCTTCATCTTCTCCGAACAATCCTTGCTTGTATAATTGCAATGTTCCATTTCATTAACTTTATTTTTTACCATTTCCCATAGAGCTTTTGGCAATTTCTTTTTGTTATTTGGGTTTTCCCAAATTTCTTCGTAGGAAATTATTAACGCTTTGACGTTATCGGACGACCATTTCCTTCCGCTTTCAGGTGCTAAAATAGTAAATTTTATTATTATTAATATTATGAAATTGAAAAAAGAATGTTATTTTTCGAAAATCAATAACAAAATCTTATTCTTTGCATAAAGAATTAATCAGTAAGCAAAATGTTCATGTAAAAGATATCTGGAATTACAACTTGCTTTTCTTATACTGATAATAACTACAGTTCTAAATTTTTCAAAAATTCAATTATTTTTCAAATTTTTAGTAAGAATTCTTCAAAAATACGATTATATTCAAAAAAAATTTTAGAAGTAAAAAAATAAATTTCTTTAAAATAAAAAATTTATTTCTATTAAATTAGTCAGTTTTCAATTAATTGCAATTTTCATTTAATGTTTTTAAATTATTTAGGAGAATTTCACTGTCTATAAAAAGTTTTTATTATATATTTATTTTATTAGAAAGTATTTATTAGAATTTTTCAAAAGACTATTTTTTAACTCAATTCTAGTTAGAAAGTTCAACGAGAATTTTATTATTTAAATAAAAAAATAATTAATTGATTGAATTTAATTGATTATTTCTTAAAATCAAATTCCTATAAGGAATTTAATTAAAATTTTGACGGATAATTGATTTTTTCGAGTAACTTCGACAAGCTGCGAAGAATTTTAATGTTTATGAAAATAATTGAATTTTTGCAATAAATTTTATTACCATTTTTTTAAATGCTTGAATTTCTCTGAGAAAGTTTATTTCTTTTGAAAATAATTGAATGCTTGTAAATAATTTAAAAAACGGTTAAGTAATTGAATTATCTTGGTAAATTTTTATTAAAAACTTTAAATATAATTAAATTCTTCGAAGCAGGGTAGCTGTACAAATTACCAAGGGTGCACCAATTGTCGATGATTATAATATTTTTTTTTCAGATAAATACTATAATATAGAATATTTAAAACCAAAAATAATTTCTAAATAATCTTTATATTTTCAAGTGCATGCTTACATAATAAAATTTTATATTAACTGTACTAAAATAATTATTTTATTAAAATTATAATTCACTGCTCTCAAATTTATTCGATTCGCTATTTTCTTAATACTTCAAATTGTATAGAACATAATTTTAGAAATTAAAATTAACGTGTTTGTTATTACTTTTTATGTACGAAATTATTACTATAATATTGTAC